CCCGCCACCGGGCTCGCTGCCGCCGGCCCCGCGCTCCGCACGGCTCAACGCAGCGAGGGCTGCGCGTTTCGAGTTGTCATAACAGCCCCTAGGACAAGAGCTCTCAAAGCCGGAGCTCCAGGATCTGGAGTGGCATTTTCCAAGGGAAAATTGAGACAAGATTCATTACAGGCACCAGCAAATGTCAAACATTTTATCAACGCTGTAGAGGGCCATGTTACGTTGTCTCCCCCCGCCTAGCCTGATTAAAGGCATAACTGTCTAGTTAATATTAATATTATCCGCTCCCCTGCCCTGCCTGCTCCGTCGTGTGCCAGGGTGAGCAGTGTTGGGCACCGTGGCCAAGCGCGCCGCAGGGCAGAGCTGCACGTGGCCCGGGATTGCTTTGTTCCCGCAAGACTCGCGCTCCGGACACATCCAGGATCGCTTTGTTCCCACAGGACTTGCATTCGGGACACATAAAGGATCACTTTGCTCCCGCAGGATTCACACTCCGGACATGTCCAGGATCGCTTTGCTCCCACAGGATTCGCGCTCCGGGTGGCGGCGGCCCTGGCCAGCTCTCTTGGCACAGCTCCCAGGTTCTGTGGGCCGCGCTCTTATCTCGCCAGGAGACTCTCCCGCAGTGCGCCTGCTTGCTAAGCTGCATTTAATTAAAGGCAGCCTTTTTGTTGCTTGCACTAATTAGCCCTCCACTCGGGGGCTCAGATCCAATCCATACCTACGTCCACGGTCCAAATCCAGCCAAAGGCAACTGGCCGTGCAGGACGCTCCAGCGTGGACCCAGCGCTCTCCTGCTCTGTCACCTTGGCACAGCCCAGCCCGGTGCCCTGCACGGTGAGGCCGAGCGCTGCCGCTCGCGGCGTTGGGAATGACGGCGCTCCAGGGCTCCTCAAGGATCCCCTCGGAGCAGACACCACCCCTGTGCTGCTGCAGCCGGTGGGATGCCAGGACTTGGCAGCTGTCCTGTCCTGTCCCGGCCCCGCTTGGCCCCGCTGCTCATCGTGCTGCGGCGTAGTGACGAGGTTATAAATTAACTTAATTGGGGTCGATAGCTAGAATAAATGGCCGTAAATGTTAGCCGTGTCCGAGGGGTGGCTGTGCCGGGACTGTCTGCAGCTTGGTGAGATGCACGGAGGGCAGGCTGAGCAAGCGGCCCCGCAGGGCGCCCCGCTGCTTCCTGCTCCTGCTCCTGCTCCTGCTCTTGTTCCTGCTCCTCCTCCTGCTCCTGCTCTGCACAGGGAGCTCGTGGTCCAAGGGGCACCCGCAGCCACCGTGCCGAAAAGGTTGCAATCTGCTAATAAGCAAATTGCTCATTTGATTATCTTAATTATGGTCTTGCTGAGCTAATGTTATTGTCAATACAAAGGGAAAG